CCCAATTTAGTTTCTGGCTGATATGTATGTGTTGTTTGGGGTATTTTGGGGAAACTCACTAAATTTTGTGCTTACAGTTTTATGTTTATCTTTTCAGGCACTTCCGGTTCGAAAGGGAAGGGGCTGACATGATTGCACCGCATTCACCAGTATTTCCACATTTTATGATATGATTTGTACTCCGATGATTATTTCATACATTATCACATTTTGATGGATTTTGGAATGAATGAATGTTGGATTTGATAGCTTAAAAATAAAAATTTCTACAAAATATTTTTGGACGTTACATATTAAGTATTTTAAAAGCACGAAAATTGTTGTAAATTGGTATATGAAACATAATTTTGGTAAGCTCGAGGGTTGTGGATGCGGTGGGAGCTAAGGTCAAACTGGTATGACTGCAGTGAACACATGCAAATCATGTGCACATATAAACGAAAAAAAAACATTTTTTTTCAACGAATCATCTATACGAACTAAATGTGTAGGTTTGGTGTCTTTTTATTTTCAGTTCTATCGGAGGAGGAGGAGGGAGTGGCCGATAAAGCTATGTAGTTTAGAAGAAGATGGAAAAATTGAAAATAAAGTTTTGACATAGACAACTAAATCGTTTTCTATTTAACCCAAGTTTTTTATTTTTTATTTTTTTAATTTTATTTTAATTTTTTTACATATGGTTTTGGTTTTAGTTATTTTTCTAGTTTATCTAAAAAATTCAAAAAACTTGCATATAAGTACTTTATTTTCGAGTCACATTCAAGTTAAAATTTTCAACCATAACCTTACCTGTTTAATTTTCGTATGGTGTTGACTAAGTCGTTTTCACATTACAAAATTACTTAACCCAAACTTTTTTTATATGGTTTTGGTTTTTGTTCTTTTTCTTGTTTATCTAAAGAATTCAAAAAACCTGTATATAAACAAATCATTTTCAAGTCAGATTCAAGTTAAAATTCTCAACCCTAACTTTTCTCGTTTAATTTTCGTATAGTATTGTGTCAACCCGTTTATTTAAAATGGTGAAATATATCATCCAAACATGTTTATTTGGGATAACTACAGTAAAGTCCCTATATTTTGGCAAAATTTTCAAAAAAGTCCTATTTTTTTTTTTTTGAATGAAAAAGCCCAATAAACCGGAAAAGCCGGACAATTTAGTCCTTATTATCCGGTGACCCTCATTTTCCCGGTTAAAGAAGTCTACATGGCATCTTAATGGTGACTGTATCGTTGACCTTTTCTTATCTCCTTTATTCCCGAAAAATCGATCGATCGATTATGCTCGTGTCCTTTAGCGATGGATGAAGTATTTGAGCCTGACACAATCGACGTTCAAGTTGATGATTTTGTAAAAACCATATCAGTTTCAAGATGTAAAGATGAATTCCTTAATGTTCTTTGTGAAGACAGTGATGACGAACCAGTGGAAGGTGAAGGAGAATATGCTCGAGTAGAACTAGATGATGAGGAAAACACTGACGAATCTAGTGATGAATAGCCCCTTTTGTTGATAGCCATATAAAGTATAGGCTATGGGCCCCTTGATTATGTTTTGTACAAACTTTTAGTTAATATTACATGTTCTATGATAAACATGGTTAATGCATCTTTAAGTTGATTAACTTGTGTATGTTTATGTTGTGTTTGATTTGATTCTATTGTGTATGTTAATGTTGTGATTGATTACATTGTTAAGTTAACTGGAATTCCAACCATGTTTGATTCCTGCCATAATTGATTCCGGTCATGCATGATTCCAACCATACTTGATTCCGGTCATGCATGATTCCAGTCATAAATGATTCCAATCATTATTGATTCCATTGTTTATTAAACATGTTTGATTATATTCTATATTCATTCCATTGTTTATTGATTCAATTAATTAATGATTCCATTCATGTTTCATTCCATTCATTGTTTCATTACATTCTATTCACTCATGATTACATTCGAAGCACTTATGACTCATACATAAACATAAACTTGTTAATTCATTTCACTTGACAAAAGGACACAACATGATACATACTACACACACCAATTAAGACATTGATAGTACGCTAACATACACAATCAAAACACATAAAAGACACCAAAACACTACTTTCCATACATCTTCTGTCTATCCTACAAATCCTTCAACATCACCAACACAAAAACAAAAGAAACCATGAACACATAAAAAAAAGATTCCTATTTTCCACCTTCTTCTCCATTCTGGACTTGAATGGCCACTACTTCCACGGGTTGATTTGCCACTGGTGGTTGTGCCACTGGTTGTTCCACAATGTCCTCAAAAAAGTTCCCTTCAACTTGTTGTTGTCCATAGTCCTCGAAAATTGCATTGTTCTCCAAATTAACATTGTTGTGAAATTTTAGTAAGAGATTTGCATACCACTGATTTGGTAGAGGAGGATCCACCCATTGGAAGAACTTGTAGTCTTTAAGTGCATCCTGGTAATTTGGGCAACCTATAAACCTTCTTTCCTGGGTTAAACAGAGTCCACGAAGTCCATTTTCCAACGGGATCACCGCAATAGCACCTGCTTCTCAGTCGATTCATCACTCTTTGATTTGAACTTCTGCTTCCTACAGAAGATGAATACGACATTGGTGGCTCCTCCTCCTGCTTCGATTTTTGCCTGGTCCGATTTTAGGGCACGAAAGGAATGAATGATGTATATATTTAAGTTTCGTTAAGTTCACCGAAGCATGCCCAGTCCACGTAGACTTCTTTAATCGGGAAAATGAGGGTCACCGGATGATAAAGACTAAATTGTCCGATTTATTGAATTTTTTCATTAAAAAAAAATTTAAGACTTTTTTGAAGCTTTTGCCAAAATACAGGGACTTTACTGTAGTTATCCCTGTTTATTTTGTGTCAAGTTGGTGTGTCGTGTTAGTTTTTTTTTTTCCTGCTCGTCATCTACGAGAATCAGATCACCCGTTAATTGGTTTACCGTTTATCAGTGGATTTTATAACATGATCTTGAAAGAAGTAGCGTTAAACATGGTTATGGAAAGACACATCTATTTTATACCCTTTTATTTTGTGCACAGTTGAAAACATTTAAAGTAAAGGGAACATTTTCCTGCAAAAATATCAATTCATCATACAAAAGAAAATATTTTCAACACGACCCTCCACTTTATGCCGTTCTAACATTTTGCCACCAAAGTTACTCACATATAAACGGTGAAGCTAACGACAGGGTATTAGTACTTAGGGGACCGAGAGGCAAATACGATTAGAGAATCTTTCTCCTTTCATCCTGCACAAACCCCTTTCTCTCTCTTCGCGTATCGCTCTCACCATCGTCGCCGGGCATGGCTATGCCTGAGCACCACCAATTTAACAACTTCCTTCAACAACAGCATCAACAGCAACAGCAATCGAAGTCTTTCAGGTATTATCGAAAACCCCCTTGTTCATCGATTTAAAACCCTAGAACGTATCATTTCTTATATAATCTTCAATTTTTTGTTTTATTTGGATGTTTAGAGATATATTCAACAACATGGAAGGTCAGATTTCACCGCAGATTAACTATATAAACGCCGATCAAGCTCATCACCCTCCTTATATTCCTCAGTGTAAACCCCCTTTTTCTTTGTGTATTCCTCAACAAACAACTTTTTTTGTTAATTGAAGTTAAAATTCTCCAATAACCTGAAATAAAAACTCTTGATTTTCAATCTGGTGCAGTTCATGTGGTAGGGTTTGCACCAGGTACGGATGTTAGCGATGGCGGATTCGATTTGCAGCGGAATTATGATTTGGAATCGAGAAAGAAGAGGCCTAATGAGCAAGAGTTCTTCGAAAATAACAATACAAATTCTCAGATCTCATCTATTGATTTCTTGCAACCTCGATCCGTTTCAACAGGATTAGGTTTGTCTCTTGACAATGGTAGATTGGCTTCATCTGGCGAATCCTCTTTTGTTGCTGGGCTTATCGGAGATGAAATTGAAATGGAATTGCGTAGACAAGATGCTGAGATTGATAGGTTTATGAAAATCCAGGTATATATTATGGTTAAGAGTTAAGACGCCATTTTTGTGATCAGTTCTCTCAAACAGCTTCTGATACTCCTTTTCATTTATCCCTTTTTTGCTTTCCAAAAGGCCGATAGACTCAGGCAAGCAGTTCTTGAGAAGGTACACGCCAACCACCTTCAAATAATCTCACATGTCGAAGACAAATTCATCAAAAAACTCCATGAAAAAGAATCCGAAATCGAAACCATCAACAGAAAAAACATGGAACTCGAATCACAAGTCGAACACCTCGCCATGGAAGCTGCCACCTGGCAACAACGAGCTAAATACAGTGAGAACATGGTCAACACCCTCAAAGTCAACCTTCAACAAGTTTACACACATGGAAGGGATAGTAAAGAAGGGTGTGGTGATAGTGAGGTTGATGACACAGCTTCTTGTTGCAATGGTAGAGCTATTGATTTTCACCTTCTTTGCAAGGGTAATAATGGAATGAGGGAAATGATGACGTGTAAGGTATGTGGAGTGAATGAAGTGTGCATGCTTTTGTTACCATGTAAGCATCTTTGTCTGTGTAAGGATTGTGAAAGTAAGGTTAGTTTGTGTCCATTGTGTCAGTGTTCCAAGTATATAGGTATGGAGGTTTATATGTAAGGGATTAATGTTGATGAATTGTATTAGATTTATGTGGACTTGTGTTGTTTATTAACTTGTTTTGATTTCATGATTGTTGTATGGTTTATATAAGTATGTGTTTATTTTGACACAAAGCATATAAGCACAATTTAGTTCATATAATCGATGTGTTAACACACACCAAGTTATTACATATGTACGAGAAAAAAGATTGATCAAAGTAGGACAAATGACTTGGTATGCTATTATATTATCTTATTCCATAATAAAATCTGCTACAATTATAAATATATATAAAAAGGTTAATAACATGTATGAGAATTCTTCTACTTTGAAGAGTAGAAGATTTAAAATCAATACATCATGACACATTTCCTCAAGAATTTGATACATTTTAAGTACATAACAAATTTAACACACAATTTAACTTGGACTATTTATTACATCAATTTAATGTGTAACTCAACAATAGATCAGATACTATTTTATCCAAAAGATGGTTATTTCCACATGTACAACATGTACCAAAAAATGGCTTCCAATCTCTGACTCATTAACACTATCCCATTTGAATAGGTCCTGAAAAATCACGTGACATAGCCACAATATAAGGTTACGCTTATCGAGTTCACACGTTTTAATATAAAAAATAATAATTATATAACACAACACCATGTTTAACATAAACCAAAACCATATATAAAAAATGCAATGAAATTATAATAGCTACTTTAAATACATTTTGCATAAAATCACATTCTAGTGGGTATCCAGTTTGGCGCTTCACAATAAATTCATCTTTCTATAAATGTCAATCTATAAAAAGTCCTACAAATTTGTCAAAGTCTCAACAACTATAAGCAAGGCTACATCCATTTAAAAAAACAAATTTCACAATATTAATCTATTTAAAGAAAACTCATAAATTTTAATGTGTGTGGAGTTGAGGAAAAAATAAGAAAGGCAAATAAGAAAAGTGTTAAGTGTCTTAAACTCTTAATAGTAAAAAAGAAATATCCCATAAATCATGTTCCCTTTAAGTCCATTAAGTAGAAAAGAAACACTCAACCTAACTTCAACTTAATCAGCAAAATGATTATACCCCAATATTCTTGTAATTTGTAAGGAAAGTGAATGTTATAAACTATAAAATACAACAATCAAAAGGTACAATTTGAATTTTGAAATATACTACCTTCAATCATGACGCCTTCGCCTTTGAAAATGCTGGTTGATAAAACTGTCTGCTTGTAAAGGATATTTTTTCTTTATAAACGCCTTCACACATTTCCAATATGAAAAGTCAACCATTTCTCCATTCTTACGCACAATGAATAGACATCTTGAGCTTTCAAAATCTGGATGGTGTCCAACCTGTTAGGTATTTTCATTTTATGGCATCACAGAATAAAGTTTGAGTTAATTCCTATGAGTTTTGGATTATAAAATGTATCAGTAAATACAGAAAGAAGTTAGAACAAAGTAACCATATATAAGAATCTTGAATGTGTTGTGAAGAAGGGAGAAAATTCTAACCATGATGTAATCAATTCCACATCCAATTTTCTTCTCGCTCTCTGGATGATGTGCCAACAACCTCTGTAGAATGATGTTTTCATGCTCGGAGCTTAATCTCTCACCACTTTCATATCTGTAATAGCAAAAAAAAAAAAATGAGAATTTAAGCAATCAATATTAAGCTACTATTCAATTATTCAAGAAAACGAATGAATTGTATTCAATTAGAGAAGAATCGCAATTTAACAGAAACCCTACTTGCCCGAATGAAGAATCATCCTAACAAAGCCAACCAAGGGTACAGTATCCTCCAAAATTCGATCCTCCCAATCCACCCAGCTGTCTTCCACTCGTTCCATTGCCTCATCATCTTCGCATTCAGATTCCCCTTTCGAAAACCCTCTGTCATAGTCCTTCACCTCCACGGCCGGCTTTCTCAATAAATCAGCGGCGGAGTAAGCAGCCCCACCCTGCTGGGGGCTGATATCACCTCTGCTAATTTTCAAGGCAGAAAATGTCGTGTGACGATAATGGAAAGAAAGGATTGAAGGATTCGTTGACGACAAGTGGAACGGAAGAGAGACATGGGTTCTGTTATTGAGGTAAATGTGAGAAGATGACCATGAAATTGATTCCATTAGAACAAGTATTAGGGAATCGGGATGTTATAAACCCTAATATCGTTCCAAGTTTTGAGATTTTAGCTCGAAAAAGGGCATGCTAGTAGTGAAAGAGAGCGACTGGCAAGAAGATAACAGTCGACAGACCAAGTTTGCAGACTCCTACTGATAGAGCTGGCAAAATGATTCAACCGGTCGATCTAAAGGACCCGAAACCCATTCCAATATTAATGGGCTGGATTTAGTTTTAGTATTGTTATTTGGGGGTGTTTGATAAGTTATAAATTAGAAAAATATTTAGATAAAAATAGTTTATTTTAGTGGAAAAGGTTAATAAATTATTTTAGTGGAAAAGGTTAATAAGTTATTTTCTGAGAAGTTATCTCACCCTAACTTATTAGTTTATAAGCTAATAAACAATAGGTTTTTTTTTTCTTTTCCAAACACCTTTTTAAACTTTTTAAAATATTAGAGTTATTCAAAATAATTATATATCTATAAAGTATACAAAGTAATTATTAGTTTTATTTTCTTTTACTACAAAACAACTATGAAGTTCATTAAACAAAGCTACTGAACTTATGGGGTTATTTTTTATTAGATAAACGTCACTTTATTACAAAGAAGTTCACTAAATTTTGCCAAAAATTAGTGAAAATATTCTCAAATGTGTATCTTTAGTTGTTGAAATAGAAAAATATAGACAAAATAATTAAATGGTAAGAGAAAAGAGATGGAGAACAATGATGGAAATCATCATTGTCTTGAAGAATGGTAATAAGATGAAAAAACATGAACGTGCATAGTCTCTATAACACCGTACTTTAAATATGAGAAATCAAAGAGCTAAAACAAGATGTTTATGAAGAACATTAAAGATTTACCCAAAAGATCCCATGTTGAAAATGTGTCTTAGTATCGTAAATCCATCGAATATGGTAAGAAAGAAGAGGAAACTAACCAATACGTGTATAGAGATGAAACAATCAATGAAACCAAGGAAAACTTGGACGCTCAAGCTAACTTATTAGCTAGAAAGTTTACTAAACTAAGATAAAAAGGCAAACTAAATAATGAATTTCATTGAAGATGTTATAATAGAGGTGGATCAACATTGTCGATAATTCCCCTTCTCTCTTTGCATAGATAATCTTTGCATAGATAAGGGTTCTAAAACCCTAACATGAGTTATGCTTAAAACTTTCCCTCATTTCAAATTAAGGCATAATACTTCCTTAATTCTAAGTATCACTCCCATAACTTAATATTAATCATATAAAATTCCCATTAAATTTGTTAATTGACACAACTCACCTCTTATACGCAATTAATGAAAGTTATAGCTTAGCTCATAAAATGACATTCTGCTTAATTATCACATACCTTGAATTTCTTTTTGCAAAGGCTTGCATCTTTAATCGTCATTGTTTAATGACGACACCTAATTCATTGTAAAACAAGCATTAAATATAAATGGTTAAACTATAAATAAGGTTACAACACGTGACCATCGTTCCTAAGTGTTATAGAGAACTTGAGGAAACACTTTATATTCATCAACCATTAAGTCCCATAGAATCTACCTACCCAAATGAAACTTGTCTACTAAAAAATTCATTGTATGGGATCAAGAAGGATGCTCAAGCATGGTAGGAGTGATTTGCACCATTTGTTTACTCTATTTGAATTTCCTACTATATATCTAATAATTATGTCCTTATATATTGTCATAGTGCCAATATACCATATATTCTTTTATATATGGATGTATTTTCCTAATCGATTGTCCAAGTATATCATGTCCTTTCTCGGATACAAATTTCTTATGAAAGACTTGGGACCATTCTGTTACTTTGTGGGTATTATTGTAACTAATCATTATAACACCCAGTTCCAGGTAAGCACCATTTTGGAAATTCTGATTAATTCCTAAAGTTTAAACCTTGGTCATGATGTGAGCACTAAGGTGTTACAACGTGACCCCAATCGGCAGAAATACATATATCCTTGATTATCACAACGTGACCCCTTATAGGTCACGAGGTGAGACCTGGCTACGAGGCAAACCCTTATTTTGGTGATTTATTTTGTATTTAAAGGAAGTGTGAGCTAGGGTTAGCCCACTCTCAACCTCCATCACCTCCTAACACTCCCCTTGAAACCCTAACACCCCATTGTTGTTTTGAGTTCATTTGTGGTGATTTCTAGCAATGAAGAAGAAGAAGAAGAGCATCTAGTACTCCACCTCAGCATTCAAGCCTCACAATCATTCATCTTCACACCTTCTGGACCATTGTGAGTTTCGAAGTTCAATGCTTTATGAGTTAATATGCTTAGATATAGGTTTTTATGCATTATATTTCATGCCTAAGATGATATAGTGTTTGGGATCCATAAAGTTGCTAACTTTATGAATCTCCAGTGCCCTTTTGATGAAATAAGTGTTGGATCTGAAGTATGGATAGGTTTTGAGACTCTTGCATGAGCTTCTAATGTCATTTCTTCCTTTTGCGCCCTAGCTTGTTTTGGGACATGCATCTCTAAAAAGCTACGATCTTTATGATGTTCTGACGTAGATAAGACATTTTGGAAGTTTTGGTTGATTGTCTAAAAGGATTAAGAGCTTATTCAATCAAGTGGTTCAGAACGATTCTTACGACATGAGGACTGGTGTCTCACGACGTGAGAATGGAGCAACATGATTATTTTGTCTTATTTAGAGCTATTAAATATTTGGATAAAAACTGAATTGTCCAATTGAACTATTTGGTTCAGATATTTAGATTTTTAGATTGGGTTTCCACAAAACCGAATTATTAATTTGGATTTTGGATTAGTTTTGATTTATAAAATAAGAACCGAATAGTCCCAAAAAAAAACAAATAACTATTTATTATTTTTGTATTTATAACACACACACACACACACACACACATATATATATATATATATATATATATATATATATATACCTTAATAAATAAATATTTTTTTTGCCAAATGTCATACTCATTCAATTTGCTAAATGTCATTTTGTGGTTATTTTTAATTAATTTCTTTTTCACATGTCATTTTATGGGTTTTCCTATTTTAATAAACTCCACATAATACTTTAATTTAATAATTACAATAAATGTAGTAATAAATGAATATCAATTTCATTAATTAACTTACCTTATTATTTCAAAATTTCCAAATTAAAAAAATCAATTTTAATAACTCTTAATTTTTCTTATTTTTTTTATAAATCCAAAGTCTTTAAATATTTAGACCTTCATATTTAATTTTTTTTAATTAACCCATGTAATTCATGGGTCTTACACCTACTATATATATATATATATATATATATCTATTATATATATATATATATATATTATATCTATATATATATATATAATCTATATATATATCTATATAATGAATGTTTTTTTTGCCAAATGTCATACTCTCATTCAATTTGTCAAATGTTATTTTGTGGTTATTTTGAATTAATTTCTTTTTCACATGTCATTTTATGAGTTTTCATATTTTAATAAATTCCACATAATACTTTAATTTAATAATTACAATAAATGTAGTAATAAATGAATATCAATTTCATTAATAGACTTACCTTATTATTTCAAAATTTCCAAATTAAAAAAATCAATTTTAATAATTCTTAATTTTTCTTATTTTTTTTTATAAATCCAAAGTCTTTAAATATTGAGACCTTCATATTTAATTTTTTTAATTAACCCATGTAATTCATGGGTCTTACACCTAGTATATATATATATATATATATATATATATATATATATATATATATATATATATATATATATATATATATAGTTATTGTTTAATTTATTAATTTATTTTTTAAAATAGATTCAAAAAGTTTCACCTAATAAAAACCTTAATATATATTTTATCTCAAATAAAAGTTATCTATAAAATATTAAACTGTAATATATTTATTTAATATTGTTTATAAATTAAAAACCACAACTAAATAATTTATTTTTGTTTTTTCTATAAAGTTAGCTAATATTTATAATTATATGTGGTTTTAAAATGTTTCGGTTTTTATAAACCCAATTATAAAAACCGATCTAACCGAAATGTAATTTGGTTGGATCGAATCGGATTTGAATTTAGTTTGAACAATTCGGATCCATGTTTTGAGAACCGAAATCAAATTGGATTCACTTGATTAGTTCAGATCGAACCGATACATCCAAATGAACACTCCTAGTCTTATTAAGTCACGATGTGACCAATAGATGGTCACGACGTGATGGATAGCTGGATAACTTTTGAGTGAGGATTTTGACCGTTGACCATTGAATTTGACCAAGTTTAACTTTAGGATATTTGAGGTAATTGTAGATTGAGACTAAATTTATTATATAAGTGATCTGTAGAGACAGTGTTCGGAACCGTGAGAATGATCATTCACAATTTAATGATCATATTTTTTTATATTTTATATTTTATTATTTTAACAATTTTTTATTGTTTAAAAACATATAAAACTTTATAGCTTTTTTATTTTTTTACAATTAGAAATGAATATCAATATTTTTTTTATACAAAAAAAAGTTAATGTAATAATATTCACAATTTAATACAACAATTCACTTTGTTAACATGATGTTTTTGTCTTTAAAATTTATAACTATTAATATATAACTATTAGAAATAAAAAATTCTTAACTTTGATATGTTTGATTATGTTTTTGGTTAATTAAAAATGCTAAAATTAAAAAAAGAAAAAGTTAATAATCAATTTTCATGATCTCTCAAAATTTTGGGTACTATTTGAAGTGATTTATTGTTAGAAGAATGAGAATAAATTATATCAAGGTATTAGTATTTTCATACCAAAGGGTCTTTGGCCTAACGGTAATGAGTGACCCTCTCAAATGAGAGGTCATGGGTTCAAGTCTCAGTAGGAGACATAGGTTGTAATTAGGAGTATGTTAGTTTGTCATAGTCATCTTCAAATAGTACCAAAAAATTTTAGAAATCGTGAGACCACTTTTTTCTAGTGAAATATTCAAATATTCTAGTGTTCATAAAAAATAAATATGTTTAATATTCTAAAACAATAATTTTAATATATTTTAAATTGAAATATTCTAAAACATATAATGTTAGAATATATTGCATTTTCTATTTTTACGAACAATAG